CTAACATACTTCAACTAAAAAATAGGTGGGAGTATATTAGCATTCCCCTATATATATATATATATATATATGAGGGATCCTTTTACTCTAGGAGTAAGTCTACCTAGACTTACTCCATTCAATAACTTATGTTCTACATCAAATTTTAACGATTTAACCGTTCAATTTAAAGTTCTTAATGCATAGATCAAATCTACAAAATTTTAGAAAATTTGAAAATCATTTGATACTTCGTTTCATTAATTCGAATCAATGTATAAAATGATTTTATGATTATCCGTCAATTTGAATTAATGAAACGAAATATTAAATGATTTTCAAAATTTTCTAAAATTTTGCAGATTTAATCTATGTATTAAGAATTTTAAATTCAACGATTTGATCGTTGAAATTTGATGTAGAACATGAGTTATTGAACGGAATAAGTTTAGGTAGACTTATTTTTGGAGTAAAAGGACCGCTCCTCATATATAACTTCAAATATTTTGCTCTTTTTTACTTTTTGTGAATTTCTCTTTCCTTTCGAAGTTGTTAAATTGTCTTAAATATAATTTTACAATATAAAATATAAAATAAAATTTTTGTCCTTAGACTTGGTATTTTTTTTTAATTTAATTTATATATAAAAGTTCATATTTTGTCTCTCCATTGAAAAAAAAAAGCATTTACAAATACTATAGATGGAAAAACTTAGGTGCACACCTATTATAGGTAGCAAGAAGAAAGTGATGAAAATAAAAATTAAGAAAAATAGAAAAATAGAAATTAAAAATAGATAAACATGACAAATAATGTAATGAGATATGAACATGAAAAAAGGAAAATGATGATAATGAAATTGAAAAGAAATTATGACCGGTCCAACGACAATAGATTAATTTTACACAAGAAAATCTTTGATGTGCACATTATATACCAAATAAATAAATAAATAAATATATTAATCATTTTTTAAAAAAAACTACATTTTAATTCATTAGTGTCTTATGTTTAACATATATATCATTCTTCATTCTAATTCATATATGAAAAAAAAAAACCCTAACATCTACGCTTTTATAAGCAATACTTCTTTGGATAGCATTCTTTTAATTTTAGTTTTTTTTATTAGAATCCTTTACCCCTAATCTATAATACATATTTTATAATTTGGTTTCTATAATTTTAAAACCACCCGCTCTCTTTATTTGAAAAAGAAAAGAAAAAATTACACTTTTACTAACCTATATGGTGTGTTTGGATGAGAAATTTATATAGGATAATTCATTTATTTGAAAATTTTCAAATTTCTTGAGGTGAAATGCTTTGTTTGGATGAAGAATTTACAAAGAATTTGAAATCCAAGTATTTGTGAAATTATTTAAAATAGTAGAATTTCAAATTCTCCCAAAAGTGGGAGAATTTGAAATTCCTCATATTTGTTTTTCTTATTTCACCTATATATTTTATCTTATCTCTTCATTCTTTTAATTATTGGATATTCAAAAATATTTTTAAAATTATTAAATATTATCTTATATTAATTTTTAAAATTATTAAATATTATCTAATATTAATTTTTAAAATTATTAAATATTTAAAAATGGATTAATATTTATTTTTATAAAATTTAATTTAAAAATATCAACATATAAATATATTTTTAAAATCAATTTTACTATGATGGAATCAAATTATCATATTCAACCTAACAATTTAAAATTTAAAAAATTTGAATTGACTCATCCAAACAAAATATTTTAAGAATGATAGAAATTGAAATCAAAGTAATTTAAATACAAAAAATTTAAAATTTCTTGAATTTGTAAAATTCCTCATCCAAACACACTAATAAGGTCAGTTTGGTTTAATGGGGGAAAGTGATTTTATCGGAATGAAGGTAATTATATCCTTGTTTAATTAAAAAAGAGATAAGAGATATTTTAAATTTAAAAAGATATGTAAGGACATTTTAAAATATTATACTAAAAATATTTTTAAAAAATACTTTGAAGGAGAGCTAAAATTTAGAAGAAGTTTTGCTCTCCTCCATTTTTCTTCTCTCCTCGTATAAAATTTGAATCAATTAAAAAATAATTATAAAGTTATTTAATAAAATTTACATATCTAGAAATACGAAGGTAAGAATACATATTTGCACGCTTGTTAGAAAGTTATACAAGAATAATTTTAAGTATCTTTTATTCTGAAAAAAGTTATATTTTCATGAATAGGAAAATTTTATTCTCATGATAGAATATGTGATATTCTCATGAAATATTGGATATTATTTCCATAACTCTTGTAACTTCTATTTTTTTAATTAATTTAAATTTTAAAAAATATATCTAAGAATATTAAAATGAATTAAACACTTTTTTTTTAATATATTTTTTAGAAAAAAACATTCTAAATAATATTTATCCTAGGAATAAGATTCACAAAACTACAATTATCCTACAAAATAAGCACCTCCTAATAATTTCCTGTCTACCATTCCCTCCATATCCCTCTAACCACCAAATACTATGTTATCTACTTTTAAATCTCAATATTTTTCTTTTTCTCTTAAAGTTATATCCTACTCTCAAAACTCCTTAAAAAATAAATATACATAAAGACGAAGTAGCTTTTTCCTAATTAGCCATTACATAATTTTAATTAAAAGTAGAAACATGTAAATAATTTTTTATACAAAGACCAAAATGCAATTTTTTCCAAATGAAAAAACTAAAACAAAGAAGCAATGAATATAAGGAGTAAGTTTATAATTTAATGTAACAATACAAGATAGGAGAAAGACAAGCAACCACCATTCTCTTCAAGCATCACCAAATTCAGCCCAACACAAGAAGAGGGGAAAAACATAAGAAGAAGAAGAAAAAATATAAAAAAAACCTCCTTTTTCTTAGAGGAGGAGGTTGAAAGGAAGAAGAGGAATTGATCAATGGTTGGGGAATCAAGAAAGTGGGTGATGCTTGTGGCATCAATATGGATACAAGCATTCACAGGGACAAACTTTGACTTCTCATCCTACTCATCTGAACTCAAATCTGTCCTTGACATAACTCAGCTTCAGCTCAACTATCTCTCTGTGGCATCTGACATGGGAAAGGCCTTTGGCTGGTGTTCTGGCCTCTCTCTCATGTTCTTCCCTTTGTGGGTAGTCATGTTCATGGCTGCTTTCTTGGGACTTGTTGGCTATGGCTTCCAATGGCTTCTCATTCATAGATTCATCTCTTTGCCTTATGCCCTGGTCAGTTTCTTCACTCCCAATCCCTTTCAATTTCTTTGCTTTTTTTGTTTTTCTTTGGACTTTTCATGCATTGTCTTCTTTTGGTGAAGTTGGCTTAATTTATTACTGGAAAATCAATGGACCTTACAAGAAACTGGGAAAGCAAAATACAAAATGTGTTGCTTGGGATTTGGTGCAAGAGATTTGTTTGAAGCACAATTATGCTTCCACACACATTTCCTCTCATGTTATTTGTTAACTTTAATTTTCTTTTATTAGTATATCATTTTAACTTGATAGTTTTGGGACATAAAATTGAGATAGTGTTATTCCAAATTTAATTTTTGATTAATCGTTTATTATCAATTTTAAAATATTGTGTGAATTATGTGTATGAAGATTTTTTTTTATTTATGAGAAACATAATCTTAATTTTGAAACGGTGGAGGGTGTGTAAAACATTTTATACTAAAACATATATTTTATGACATTTGTGAAAAAATTAATAAATTTCTTGTATCTAGTAAGTTTTAATTAACTAATTATTTTTTGGTGAATTTAATTAATTAAAAATTAAAAATTCTTTACGTATAAACTATTTACTCTTTTCTAAAGAAAGTGAAAAGTCCTTCGTAGAAATTTATGGTACCCAAATGACAAAAGAATCAACACAAAACTTTCCTAGTTTTCTGGAAAAAAAAAAAAAAAAAAAAAAACAGG